AAGTTTTCCTGAAAATATAGAGTGATAAGTTTAAAAATATATGGTACTTTTTTGTATAGAATATTTAGATAAAGAGTATACCTTCAGGAGGTTCTTGCTTAGGTATTGCAGTACAGAAAATATCTACTCCATTATCAGGCTCCTTGACCTCCAGATTGTTGTCTTTAACTGCTTTCACCATCTTTCCTTGAGCAACATTTTTCTTATTTCTTCTTGCATGAGATTCTTTACTCTCCTTTCACTAAGAATCGTTCAGTATATTGTTTTGTTTGTGACTTCTCAAGTTGTGGTAAAAAAAACTTGACTACTCAAGGAAGAGTTTGGTTAGATACCTTGCCTATTTATTATTTTTGTTGTTGTTACATCGCGCGCGTGGTTTGTTATTTATTGTTGTTACGTGTATTTATCACGTTTTTTGTTTTTGTTGTTATTTATCGTGTTAGATAATACGGTCGAAGATTTTGCAGATCAATTCTAGAATAATCTGTAAGAAAATCTCGAAATCCGATTGGCGCTCGACATTGTTAACATAGAGAATTTGATGACGCTTTATCGATCGAATACTTCTGAAACTAACAATAGAAATATACTTTTATGAATATACTCTTTCAGAATCCACGGGGATCCACGCATGTTTACAAAGCGGTTGTCTAATAAATTGATTTTAAAGATTAGCATTTGCTATACAATGAACGTAAAAGCAGAAGCCAAAGACTTACTTGTCTCTTCAAGTCTCTTACCAATGAATATGATGAAAGTCAGTATCGTTATGGGGCCGCTAGCAATAGTAATAGTGGCGATATGTCCTTGAGGGATATGTTCTGGCCCAAATCGGAATTTGGTCCATTCTAGAATGGGCTCGGCCATTTGTACGATGTGATACAATGTGATATGATAAATATGCGTACGTCATCTTATTTATATTTATTATTATCTTACGTCGTTTGCTCTCTATTAACATGAAGGATGACATCTCGAACCACCCCCAATATCTGACCTCTTACATAAACAACTATTAGTATTGCAGTTAGATTTACAATGACAAACTGAACCCTGTATTACTGCTAAACTTTGCTGTTTCTTCAGTGATATTCTGTTGTTTGGTATATCATCAAGTTACCACTGATACTCTCCATATTGCACAGTTGATATCAGCTGGCTAACACTCCATGAGCACACCCAAGATGGTAGAAGCCCCCTTCCAGAACTATATGGGAGTGATTTTTGGTCTATTCTGGAGATCAGGATTTGTACACTCTCTCCAATGCCAAATACTAACTGTTGTTTTTTATTCCTTTATGCACGATGTTAAGATTCTCATTTTGTTGAACCTGTTGGATAGCCAATTCACGAAGAATAGTATGATCTCGCCTTGCATTATCAACTCGATGTGTACGACTTTATATTAGTATATTAGAAGTTTGTATAATAGTTGATGAAAAACGATATAATTATTATAAATAAGATCGATACACATATTTATCATATCACATTGTACAACATCTAGTAGCATATTTTATCACATCATACAACATCTCAACATGGGCCAGCCCAAGTCAGAATCTTAAAATGGGCTGAGCAATTAGTATCTATTTTGCTTTTAGGTTTTTTTTTCTGCAGTTGGCCCATTCTAGAATAGGCCAAATTCCGATTTGGGCCAGAACAGATATAAGTGGATTGATGATTCATCACTTGCATAATACCTGGAATGACCTAAGGTTTCAGTTCTTACAGGAGTTTCAGAAATATTCTTCAAGCAAGTGTGGAATCTGCTTTTATCGCACTCCAGGATTCTTGTCTACATTCTAATGTCAGGAACGATTAGCATCAAACTCATTACCAATTTCATAAAACATTAGTCTCAGGATTTACTTTTTAATAAATATTTTCTTACATAGTCAAATGATCTACCAGCTAATAGTAAACATGCACAATTTTATTTCAGCATCTTTTTAACTCAACCATATTGACGTATGTGGAAGCACATCATATAATTCGAACCTGAATAAAACTCATACAACCTGTTGAATTACAAGTTTATTCAGAAAAGAGTTTGAGTCTCTAAATTATAGGAAATGCACAGTGTTAATATTGTAAATTGATCTTATTTATATCAATGTGCAACCATACCTGCAGCTGAATCCTTATTTCTTGGTTTTGGCAGATCTCCAGTAGGTAAGAGTGTACTAGAATATTTACTCTCCTTCTCGAGACGTGATAAGGGCTTTACATCATTATGATAGATAGTATTCCACATATCAGAATTCTCCTCCGCCTCTTTAACAAGCTCATAAATATTATCAAAAAGTGTCTCTGCATCTGGATGCTTATAATGATTAGCATCACAACACTGCTTGGCAAGTTTCTTGTATCCCTCTGGTGCAGAATCAGGCATCAATGGTCATAGTTCGCCCATAATGTTGCATGCTAAATCTCTATCAAACTGCCTATCTCTAAAAGGTGGTTCACCAGTAGCAATCAAATACATAATGATACCAAAGGAATACATATCTGATTTCTGAGTAAATTTGCAAGTATGGAAGACTTCTGGTGCAATAAAGGGTAAAACACCTTGAATGTTTGAATTTGGCTTGTGTGAATTCACTGATTGCGAGAGACCAAGATTGCATATGAGCAGTTGACTTGATTGGAACTCTTTTTCTGTCACAGACGTATTGTTATTATGCATAACTATGTTCCCACCATGAAGATCACAATGCACTAATCCCACTTCATGAATATCAATCAGATATAATGCAATTTTTTGCAAACAATCTAATTTCATCTTCCATGTCAACTTGTTTATGTTTTGATCCAAATAAGACAAAAGACTACCATTGTTAGCATATTGCATAACAATCATGTACTCTTTTGTTTTTGGGTCTTGTGTGGCTCCATGAATTTTAAGGAAAAAATTACTGCACTTGGCATGATTTCTGAACTATTAAATAAAAATAAATACAGCATCAAATCAAACATCACTTTAATTAATACCATCAATTATTGCTTACCTCGGAAATAAATAATTCCGGCGTTTCATCAAAATTCTTAAACCGTTTGAGTACAACAGTTTCTCGCAGCATATCATATACTTCTGAATACTTTTTATATTTGGCAGTATAAACTGTTCCATACCCACCAGATCCGATCTCTTTGATTTCATCAAAGTCGGCATACTGCATGTGCATTATATACTCATTATTTTGTATGAATTTATCCAATATTGCATGTACGTCACGATAGAACAGCAAATAATATTTTCGAGCAGAAGGCTCCTGCGTGATTCCAAATATCCAAATATTCTCGGGTGTTAATATCTCCGGGTATTCCTTAGTTAGCTATTTGAAGTAAACAAACACAATTTAAACGCACGATACAGACGTTAATAATACTATTTGTGCGCAAGATAATTTACCTGATAAAAATTAAATAACCAATAGTTTTGTTCGTCAACTATTTTTTTGAGTGTCACACGTGTCAATTTATTTGTTGCCAGTTCTAAACATTCTGCTATATGTGTACCTCCATGGCGTAATGATGCCATCTCTTGTACGTTTGTCAATAGAGAATATTCTATCCATTGTATATACGCATCATATTCATTCTTTGTATTACTCCATGATTTCATAATAAATGAATCCAACGGTATGTTGCCCGTAGTCCAATCAAAAGGTCGTGGTGCTTTACATTCATAACAGAATGCATTTATCTTGGGACTTAATCGCTTTGCACACACCAGACATAAAGCAATCTCACTCCATTCTTTTATGAGGCAATACTTTTGTTCACTTGCATCGTATGTGAATCCGATGGTAACCCAAACATTCGTGCTACGAATATCTGGATGCTTATCATGGAATTATACATAAGTCAATACTTAGATAAACAATTCAATAAACATGATGCATAACTGAACAGTTACCTTGTCATAATAATATAAATCATCCGTCTCATCTGTTATCTCAAGTGGGATCAATTTAACCCAACTAGGAGTAGGTAGACCATTCAAGTCTACATATTCCCTATTCATAATATTAATACAATCACGTGGAATCCATTCCAAATAGGCATCATTTGCAGAGTTTGCTCGTAATTGAGATTTTTTAATAAACTCATCGAGTTGCTTATTGTTGCTAGCCCATCCATCGGCTAATTCTTTATGGCCACAAATGCACCACACAGGACCACATCGAAGTATTCCACATACGGAGCAGAATCCATGTCGAGAATAACAATGGTAAAAGAGTTTACGAGCAACCATGTAATACTTGTCATTAGACTTGGTAAATCCAATTATGAGTTTGTTGCGCTCGTTAAGCCAGTAGGAATATCTCCTGAACTGATTAACGTCATTATTGTACTTGTGTGTTGGAAGCGAGTATATTCTTGCAATCTTACTAAGCGTTGCTGTACAGTCTTCATCACTTCCAAGTAACAGCATCATTATCATCGTTTCCGCCACTTCACCATGTTGTTTGCGAATAGCATTCAAGTCTTAAGTATTTATGCTCACTTTCAAGGAGGATTGAACCAAGTTGTCGATTGCCGGATTAGTAGCCTCTGGAACTAATGACATCGTTCGAATAAGAAGTTTTCAAGTACGATTCATGGAGCATTCTCAACTTACCGATCTGTGTGTAACGCTTAACTTTGCCAAATTTTGCAATAGATTTGGGGGAATTTAGGTAGCCCTCACTAGTTCGTCGTCCTTACTATATTTAGTAACTCAAAACGTTACCAATCTGGTAGGGGAGTACCCCCTTGAATTTGTTACACAGCCGTAAGCTCCGTAAAAAAAAATGAAAAAAAGCAAACCTTTATCAGCACAATTTCCAAAATGCTTGTCGCGCTCGCATTACGTCCTTCAAGAGTCTCTAAGTATGTTATTCAGATTTTAAACTTTATTATGAGGTTTAATTAAGTCGTGGAAGGAAAGATCTTCTCATTGGTTTGGAGTAACATTAGTGTTGCCCGGTTGCAGTTTTGGTCGACTTTACACAATGGAACAAGAAAGGTTCGTTCATTTATTCGCTTATGAAGTGCCTATGGTAGCTTGAACGAATCTTACTAGATTTATTTTGATAGTATTCTACATTTACAAAACCTCATAAAACACGCGCCTTTATAAGCACCGGCTTGCTTCGCGACAACATAAATTGGGGTCATTGCTTTATTATCAATCAGACAAAATCCTCTGGTATCCGTGCACAAATTCGATGCTACACCACACCGACACCGGCTTCCGAGACATTACAAAGTTCAGCGGCCATTGTTGACGATGCGCCAGAGCTAATACTATTGCCTGATCTACCGGATTCCCAAACCCTCGATGGAACTGTTTCGGTGGCTGCTGATCCCATTACAGCAGACGTTATCGCCGATGCTGCTTTGAAAGTTGGTGATTTGAAGGCGATGGGACTCGTTCATTCCACACCCGTTGGTTTGGTGGAATCTTTGCTCGAAGCTATTCACGTCTATACTGGTTTACCCTGGTGGAGCACTATCGTGGCTTTCAGTATAATTGTCAGAGTCGCTTTGCTACCGCTGAATATAGCTTCCGCGCGAAACGTTGCCAAGATGGCCATCGTACAACCGAAGATTCAAGCACTGATGGAAGAAGTAAATGAAGCAAAGAAGCGGGGCGATCAAGCAGCTATGCTAGCAAAATCGCAGGAAACAGCAGATATTTTCAGAAAAGCTGGTGTTAATCCCTTCAAGAACTTTTTTATAGCCGCAGTTCAGGCGCCGGTAATGATTAGTATATTTCTAGCCATAAGAGACATGGCTAAATTCCCTGTACCAGGATTTAAGATAGGTGGCGTTCATTGGATTCAAGATTTAACTCTCCCAGATCCGTACTATATCTTACCGGTTGCAACTGCTCTTGGATTCCTGGCTGTTTTGGAAGTAAGTACAGAAACTTCGCCTAGTCGTCGTGGTTATCTGATAGCATCTGTATCAAACGTTACCATTAATACTGTTTTACCATTAATACTGTAGACAGCCGAAACAAATGCAGCGCCGTCAGGACAGGCGCAAAGACTCAAGAATACGTTTCGTTTCGTAGCGCTGCTTGGGATACCTTTTGCTTCATACTTACCTGCAGTTAGTATTATTACTGTTGAATTGTTGATCGATATTGCGAATGTTCACATTCTAACTCGGAGGTCTTGTATTACTTCGCCAGGGATGTCTTGTATTCTTCTCAACGAATTCCGCTTTATCCATAACGCAGACATTTCTGTTGAGGAACAAGACTGTTAAGCGTGCGCTCGATATCCCAGAAGTTCCCAAGTATCTCGTGTCTTCAAAGCCATCACCATCACCAGCACCACAGAAATCATTCCGTGAACAGTTTCAATCGTTGTACGGTGACAGCAATCAAAATTTGCAGAGAAGGCAACGAAAAAGATTTTAAATCACGTGTATTTAATAAAAGCGTTCGGTTGAAAATAGACTTTAACTGATTTGGTTGATCATGCGTGTTGCATTTATTATCGCCTTCGTGTTGCTTGCTGTTAATTCTGATGGACAGTCAAGTGTCAAAGCATGGCGTATATGAATTATAGAGAACATCTTAGTATCTATTTCCAAGCTTCCGTTTATTAAGAAGCATGGGAGATCGGTAGTTCGCACATGTTTGTCGCCTAACATTTTGTAGAATCTGAACCTTCGTCATTACGACTGCTGACATACTTTGTTCTCTCCCAAATTTAGAACAGAACATTTTGTTTGGATGTATTTAGACTTCCCAGATGAACTGCAAAAGGTTTTACGCTTACTTTATGGAGAAGATTACGCTTCATTTCCTATCTTATTGCTTGCGCTTATTATACCACTACTTATACTTTGCAAACATATTTCCAAATAAATCTACATTCCAATAAGCGAACATGCTGATGCCTCAATGTATCCATGACTCAAAAGAAAAATATCTTTCTTCTGTCTACTTACATACTAGTTTTTGTCGTACATCCTTATCAACCGCTCGTCGGTCGAATGGGATATTCTAAAAAAGACATTTTAGGCATTTTAGGCATTATTGGCAGTCTGATGTCCAAAAATTTGTATGATGCCGTGGTATCATCCTTCTTGCGACTGGCTGCAACAAATTAATTTTTATCTGTCAAGCTGTCATAGCGAATATGCACTTGTAGATAAATAAATAACATTTCATTCACTTTTTAATTAGCATATACCCTCATAAGCTACTAGATCTCGTTATTGTCGAATTATATTTCATTACGTCTTTACAGTCTTAACGATTTATTGACTGTACTACCAACAGCGCACGTGCTTCTTCTATAAATAAAATTACTGTATATGCTAAACCGATACTCCTGTAACGAACAATAGAACAAATATTCAGTGTAAAGCTACCGTACATCATTAAAACCGATAACTCGTATCTTCCATCTCCCATTATTTAATTCAGATTATCCAAATCCCTTTCGCTAACTACTACGTCTTTGAGTAATACTGTTCACATTTACATTAAACTATTTAGTTCATCACCTGTACGTACATCTCTCCTAACTTTTAAGTACAGCGTGTTACAACAAAAAAAGTTTGCAATTACTCAACAGCTAACATCAATTTTTATTTAGTAAAAATTTATAAAAAACTAAAACTCTAGTTTTATTTACGTGAAATTCAGTAAGAAATCTTTTCGCCATTATTTTAATCATAAGTGCACGTCTGTCTTAGCATTGAATTGTGTCAGGATCAAGGCGTATTCTCCGCTCTTCTTCGATGTCTTGTTAAGTGAGAAACCATTGCGAACAATATAGTATTGTTATAGTTATTCAACCATTATGTTAAACAACGGTTTTCTCTTACGAATACACACTAGAGATAGTAATATCTCTCTTTCACTTAACACCATCGGTACATAACCTTTCTTATGTTGGTTAAGAAAGTTATTAAATGTTCGCCACAAAGTGATAAATAGTGAAACCACTACGCTACGAGCCGACGGAAAGATTCGCCTCGTTTTGATATTAACAACTCTTGTTCTCAGCGAATGTACTCACTTACAAACGCTTTCATTTATGACCTTTCTCAACGAAACGATTATTGTTCCATCAAACTAGTATGTTCATTGTTAAGCTTTATTTCATTATAGCTTTCACTATCGTAGCGGAAGTCTTATAGTGGAACCAGCTACGATTATAGACGTTAAGCTCCTTCACGAAAGTCGCTTCAGGAGACTTTAGAATGATGTTACATTTATTATCCTTTCATTCGAACTGATCATTTTCAATATTAAATTGCTTGCAATAAGCCAATCAAGTTTTACGACAAAAGTCTAACAAGGTTCGTTATGCATTAAATTCATATACCGAGGTTGATCGTCGTCCATTTCATTTCAGGGATAATATGCAGAGTTAGTTCACAATAGGATTTCATTCTATCGGTAATTAGATATTTATTTCAGAACAAGAGTATTATCGAGTTCGCATGCTGGGATAACATGTCTTTAAATACATTTTTGAACCAATTTCTACTACCGCAATTAATTAATATATAGTTTCAGACTTAGATTTCGGTACCGCAGTCGAATGATCGCAGCGATCACTTGATCAAATCATACTCGGAAAATGTATATTGCTAACTAATATACAATAATTTATTGGCAGTTAGTCACAACACTAAACCATCAAACAAGTAACTAGTTATTAATAATTGCTTACCCAGAAATGACACTCACCAAACAATATTTAGATAATTGGTACAACTCAAGATCTATCTACAAAATAGTGATTCTAGTATGATGTTGATGGTATTGGACAACTTTATACAAAGTATGGATAATAAATTTGATAAAATTAAGGAGACTTAATCTGGTGGTTATGGAAAGTCAATACTGCCAAATATAAAGGTAAATCAGAAAAAGCATATATCAGAATATGTTGTTCTCAAATGTTTTAATAATTCTAATTTAGACACCAAATATTTATTTCCGAGTAAAGTATAATTATATTGTGCCCCTAAGCATATCCTTATTCAGCTGCTTTCTGATATAGCTCAATTGCTTTTTGAATATTATTTTCCACTCCTATCCCATTCTCATAGAAAACACCAAGAATATGTTGTGCCCAGGCATCTCCTTGTTCAGCTGCTTTCTGATACAGCTCAACTGCTTTTTGAATATCCTTTTCCACTCCTATCCCATGCTCATAATAAACACCAAGACAACATTGAGCATTAGCATCTCCTTGTTCAGCTGCTTTCTGATACAGCTCAACTACC